ATTTTGTTTGAAATTAACACGATATTGGTCATGGACTTCCTGCACCCAAGCGGTCTATGTATATCCTCCTTTCCTTGGGTAGAGGAAATCTTCCCACATTTTGCGATGATAGTTATTCGGGTACAGTTCTGAAGAAGCGGGTATCCGGAATGGTAGCATAGTATACAATAGTTATAGTGCTATTTCTACTAAGGCTTCAAGTTTTACGACTGCCATTCTTACCGCCACCATTAGACAATTACTGCCAGTATCACACTTCTGTTATCATTACACTACTACTGCGATTGAGATAGCACTACCACTACAGCAGCAGTGCCACTACGCTAAGAATATATTTACTGTTCAATCGCTTGCCAACCACACAATTTCAAAAAATATAAAGAATCGGACGAAATGAAATGTATTTGTGGAAAGGCGCAGTCCAGCCCCAGTCTGCATTTGTGGAGTGCCCCAACTTATTCCGAACTTCTAAATTTATTTGTCGTTACGAGATGTAAGGAGTGAAAACCTTAATCCTCAATCAACGTAGAAGAGATGCCTGCATGAATACTTCTGTAGTCCGTCGAGTCTTGCTCTACCGTTATCACTAAGCCCATAAAGGAAAAATATAAAGCTACCCAATGACTGCCATTACAACTATTCCCTACTATACGATGCTAGAATGCTAACTATCATGCTAAATAGTAAACTATACCTATACGTACTAGACGTCAAAGTCCATTACTAGTCTGTTACGACTAAGACAAATATTACTATTCTTACTACAACAGCCGTATAGTTTTATGCTTATGGCAAAGTCCATTTTTATATGCTACTACCACGACAATTGCAGTGTTTCGGCTTTGTGAAATTGCGCTATTGCCACTTCACTATTGCTATTAATATAATACCACTGTAATTACTGTTGCTGACAAAAAGTTAAAGCTGTGTCGCTACATAGCAAGACGTTTCCGTCAATAGCAATAATACCACACGGCTTGCATTAAGAGTATGGCTACTACTACCACTACTAGTTCCAGTGACATAACTAACGAGACTTATTATTCCCAGAGTTGCACTGTTACTACCCATAATACTATTTTATTAAAACCGTTGTCACTTTTATATAATTTTGAAAATCTTGGAATCTAAACCGAATAATAATAAAGCTAGGCCTCATTTTCTTAAGCTCACCCAAAAGAAAAATATTAATGAAATGTCTTCTCCGCATTAATGCATATTAATATCAACATCTTTGCGACATGATGATCTAATCTTGCAAAAATGTTATATTATTACGTTCAAAATAAATGTGCAGGCGAGCATATGTTGACAATATGGCAAAATTTTCTGCTAACGAGAAGCGTACAATATGCTTCAAATGTGACACAATCACAAAGCCACCCAATCACTAATCCCTATAAGCACCCATGTCGTAGGGATATCAGAAATATTATCATAAAAAAAAAAAGAACGAAGGAAAACAATTTCAAATCGCAGAGAGAGAGAGAGAGAGAGAGAGAGAGAGAGATAGAATAATGCAACAACTTTAACTTTAGTGCAAAACATTTAAAGACTGCAAAAGGAAAAGAGGCGACTTGAAGGCAAAAACGACTGTGTATGTTGTAATGTTGTCCGAAGGAAAGAAAAAAAAAAAAAAAAAGAAAAAGCGTTAAGCTGAAAGCAGAAAAATAATACAAACAAAGTCACACAAAGTGAAATAAAAATACTAAATAAATGCCGCCGACATAAACTGTAACAGGTTCAACAGTGCGAACGTATAAGCTTATGTTTTCGTATAACAGGCATGTACAGGTATATAAGGCAAGTGTGGTCAATGTGTAAACTGATTTCATTGTATCGAATTTGCCATATATTGATCGCCATAATATTTCTTGTCAGTATCGTTGTTGTTATTGTTGTTTTTAACCCGTGTACAAAAAGACGCCAATATTTTATGGGTAAATCTTTTCTTTCCTTTTTTCGCTTTTTAGCAGCAGAAAAGCGGTGACAAAACACGGGATTGCATAAAGGTTTCGTATTACCGACGCAGATCATATACATAGAAATGTACACATATATATATATATAAAGCAAATATAACAAGATACCATGGACTACTGGCTGAATTTCAAAATATACCTTTATGAACGTGCATTCGACGAGGGATTGAGTTTATGGATCTGGACATTTGTTGTTTCTAACGACGAAGACAATCAACAACTAAGGGTTCTTGCTCTTCTCACTTAACAGTTTATGGAATTGATCCTGAACTAACATATTCTTTATACACTTTTTTCAATTGCCAGATATCTATGCAACTATCTTGATGTCATAGGCATTTCAAATTTATTTAAACGTATCCGCTAACATTATGTGATATCTGCCTTTCAAACGCTGCTTATGTTATACGTTTGAAGTTTTCTGAGGTCACATGAGGTTGACTATTGTATATTTATGGGGATCGTCATGCATTTAGCGTTAAACTTTTCCAACATTTCCGTCGCAACTATAATACTTAAAGATTTTTATTAACCAATGCGATAGTTAATATATGTTAACATATATGTTAACATATGTATGTTAATCTATAGGCATGCCACACAACTATTAAACATTAGCCTACGTTAAACAACTATAGACATGTAGACATTTAGTGTAATGCGATGATATTCTATAAATTGTACTCAATGTACAGTTTATGCGGAGCATTTGAATAGTTTTCCTTTTTTCCTTGCCAGAAGACAAAGGTGCTTAAAGCATTTTCATATTATCAAGAACCAGAAATGTAGGCAAAGCAAATACCGCAAGATTTCTCTTTTTTGAGTTATTTAATAATTAGTGTTCAACCCCCTTATCTTGTTCTCTACTTTCCCTGCTTTCTTTTCTTATCCTGATCATCTGATTTTTACGATCCATTACTATCCGGAATATCTACCAATGATTTACTTACCGTTCTTCAACTGACTTTGTAACCTTGCAATATTTTGCACTTTATGACAATCATAGTTTAAGGTATTCCTTTTTTCACTCCCCAACGAAGAACGGGGGATGGCGACTCATTTTGTCATAATCTCTGCAATACCCGACCGGAAGCTTCAGAGACGCTATGAAATATACATATCCTTGATCAGCGCGGTATTTTGAATCGATCTAATCATATATATTCGTCTGTATACTGAGTGTTAGTGACACTCACACGTAGGTCACAGAAGTACTGATATCGGCTTCAATTTTGGTTGAGGCGTTGAAAATGGGTCGAATCGATCAAAGAGAAATGGTGGTGGGTATACAAAACTCTGCCTCAGCGTCAGCCAAAGCGGGTCGCTGGCAAACCAATATCGTGCCATCGACATTGCCATGTTGCCAGAAAGATGGAAAAGAGTTTTCGAAAATGTTGTCGAAAGCGATGAAAAATATTCCGATTAATAAATATTGTACCGATTTTTCTCAATAAATGTATTTTTCAAGTGCAAAAATGATCAAAATACATGCAAGCACCTACTCATTTCCTTACTTCTTTTTCTCTTGTTTTCCGTCAAAACAAAAAGTCCGTTCGTTTGCTCTTCCATTCACAATATTTTTAAAATGCTTTTGCTCCTTCTACATTGTTCTTGAACGACAGTGAGTATTGTTTGCGTCCCATTATGCTCACTGCTTAAATAATATCAAAACTTTAAAACACTTGAGGAAATGTATTGAAAGTAACTCTGAGTTTAGGGTGGAGTTTACAACGCTCCGTTATCTGTGTATTTCTAGAAAAAAAAAGATAGAATTCAACACATGTTTCAGATCGGAAATTGAATGCTATTTTTTAATGACTTCCGGATGTGAGAGCTGAAACGAATGCGTGACAGAAATCGTTTATATATTTTGCTTATATAGATAAAAAATATCTATATTCCTTGCACGATATTGCGAGAGATTAAGCCTGAATAATAACAAGTTACTCAAAGACATTTTTTTGAGAATCGCTTTCGTCTCAGTAGCAATATGAACACTTTGCGGACGAAAGTCGTCTTAAGTTAATCAAAGTTTCATGCATTTTACTTATATGTATATTTGTAAATACTCACACTCGAAGTATTATATAACAGTTGCAAAGAATGAACGGCAGCAAGACGTTCATAAGGCCGATGTATACATTTTATGGTTCAATGAATTTAGTGAAAAATCATTATCATCATTATCATTAAGCCGCATTCATTTGCCTCCCAACGACTTATAATAAATATATTTTGCTTATAAATATTCCCATTCAATATATTACATAACATAGGTTGACACGATGGGCTCGTAAGCAATTTCTTTTAGTTTCTACGGTCCAATGAATTCGAGTAGATAGTCATTCACCTTTGTTCTCGTTTTGAGGAAATACGAATACTTCCGCCATGAAGTTTGTGCGCATCTTTTTAAAAGATTCTTTTGTTCTAAGAAATACTCTCCCAAAGTCACTTATTTTTTTTTTTTATTAAAAAGGGCACTACAATCAGCTATGGAGATGAAGAAGAATTTTCTACTCCTGCACCTACATATATATATATAAAGGTATTTTTAATGGCTACTTCCACGCGCTTTCCATGCGTGTAAACCTATTTTAACCTATGAAGAAATAAAGTTATATATGGCCGTGATGGTTCATATGTTGTCCATCAATTTGAAAGTTTTGAAAGTAAAAAAACAAAAAAAATAGGGCAAGAAAAGCCTAATTGCATGGTGCCCTACAGTACGGTTGTTAGCTCTTAGGGCTTTGATCCAAATCAGCTCAAAATGGAGGCACCATTATGGCGCATGATGCTTTCTTTGCCATCTGACAGTGATCGCTATACAAATAAGAAATGAATTAGTTATGCTTAAATCGATTAAACATTAACCTAAAGAAGTTAAAGTTAACATGCTGACAGCATATATCTGAAATAGAGTGCAAGTACAACTGTTGTGAAAAAGAAGGTAATGTTTACTTACATGTTTTTCTGGTCGCACAACTATACTATTTACTGTTGTTGTTGTTGTTGTTGTTGTTATTGCTGTAGATGCTGAAGATGGTGATACGGACAAAGTTAAACCATTATTTGCTATTGTTGGTGTTGTTGCCGTTGCTGTTGTTTCTTGTATAGGTTCATATGCAAAAAAGGTACTACGGTCATGGGCTGCTTTGCCATAACGACTTTGAATGACAGCTGTTGCTGCAGCGGACAATAGCATTGGCGATGTTGCTGATGAAGTCGGCGATGAGGAGGCTGATGAAGATGTTATTGGTTTATCTGATGCCATTAAGTTGTCTAAATCTCGTAGGAATTTGTTTGCCCACATATTTACATCATCAGTGGCGGCTTCCGCTACTGATTTTCCCTGCAATTGTCTATGTAGACGTTTTAATGTTGAACTAGGCGGCAAAGACGTTGAGTTTGTCATGGTTGATAATGATGATGTTGTTGTTACTAATGGTAGTTGGTGCGGTATAGGTGGTGATGACGATGATGATGATGATGCTTTTGCTGTAGATATATCTAGAGTTTCTGAATTGTCTGTTGATAAAGTCAATTCATTTATTTTCGCTATTGTTGTGCATGGTTCAGCGGCGATCATTATGGTCGTGTGTTTGCTGCCATCATTCGTTTGTTCGGTTTCCGTCATTTGGTTTTTGATTTCTTCCTCAATTGTCATTTTACTTATCGTTGGTAATTTGTTGCTGTTGTTGCCGTTGCTCTGCTTAATCGCAATCTGTCGTCCACTGCTAGCAGTACCACTACCACTGGCACTGTCAAAGCCGCTATCTGATTCTGTTGAGCGAGATAATTCATCATTTGAGACAGCTGCCTTTAAAGCGGCCACTGCTGGTATGTCTCTAGATAATGTTTGCTGTTGCTCATGCTCATGCTCTTGCTGTTCATGTTGCTCGTTTCCTCTGTGTTCCTGTTGCCGCAGCTGTTGTTGTATTTTTTGTCGAGCTTTATGTAATTCAAAGACTTCATTTATTTCATGCTGCCATTGCGCGCGCGCGCAAAAAAAAAAGAAGAACCGAAGAAACAAGAAAAGGTAAATAGAGTTTATTAAGGTGATTAGTTGATGTTGTTAGAAATTTGTTACTTTCAATTTCAATGTTGCTTCACGAGTAACGAGTACAACGACAATACAAAAACAATAAATTAGCTCAACGGAGTGACAGTCAACAAATGATGCACACAACAACAACATGTTTTCCCGTACTTTATTGCATGTGCTAAGCAACAAAGTGGCTTAGCAAACTTCTTGTCCTTCTTTTCTTCAGTTATTTATGTACGCATAGCATACAGGCTCGAACAGAGCAGCTTAAAAGTCTTAAATCTTAACATATGCTATGTCTACATATCGTGAAGAGAAGTAAAGAGAGAAAGAGAAAGAGAGAGAGAGAGAGAGAGAGAGAGAGAGGCAGTGATGTTCTGAAGACTATTGTTGCTAATTAAGCTTATGTCACTGAAAAATGTTTCTCAATTCCATCAACTTTAAAATAAATTCTCAGCTGAAAGAAGAAATATCGACTGCAAAGGGATTTATGACGTCTGGAGAATGTCAGTTTTAAGTCTTATTTGAAAAGACTTGCATTACTACTACATGCATACAAATATTTTCTCTTAACTTACTTTGTTCGAAATTGTGAAACTTCAAGCAATAGATTACTGGAAGTTTTAGCAGAATTTGATCTGAATCTTTCGTGACTTATTTTCCTGTTGATTTATGTGCACTTTAAGCCCTTAGAATAATTTATTACTTTGAACACGCTTACGAGACAAGTCTTACAATAAAAGTAAAATTCCTTACTTATGCGTTCACATTTAAACGTTGCTTGTGACGTTTTAATCCTAAATCATGCCAGGATGTGACTCTCAGTCATTATAAAAATTCCTGATTATAATGTTAGTGCTTTTGCTTTTTGTAGCTTAAATTCATTTATACATGCAACGAGCCTACATATAACAGAGAATGTTATAGAAAAGACAAATAGTTTCAACTTTAAGTTCAAAGCTTAGATGTGTCAAATCGCTGTCTGATTACGGTTAACCCCTTTTGCATTAACTTTACAATCATTTACTCATTAACTGTAAAGAGACTTTCACGTCTTCATGAACTGTGTTCCGTAATTAAAAGGAGAAAGAAACCAATTCCAATAATTTAAACAAAATCGACAAATAGACTAAAAGGGCATTGACTTTAATGTAAAGCTTTGGAAATTGACGCGGATTAGGTCACAATGGGTTCAGGTGAAGTAGTGAAATTCCCACCACCAACGCACTTTGTCTATTATTTGCATCTTAGGGAATATAATAACAAAAATTTCGATCTTTTTTTGAAATGGAGAGCCAAATTTTGGATCCTCGCCCAATTCTGGTACGGTTTCTTTACGTTTCTATTTGTCGTTACATTAGGTTCGCACCAATAATTGAGAAAAATAAATTCGCGTCAAGTCGAAGTTTAAATTTCTATCAAGTAAAGCATAAAACTCAAAATCGCGCAAGTTTCATTGACTATGGCGGAAAAGCGGGCTTAACATTTTTGCATAAAACGATTAAGGAACTGTCGCTCTCACGCTAATCTCTTGCCACAAGTCTGATCTCATTAACAATATATAAAGCGATTTCGAGTTTTATGCTTTACTTGATAGAAATTTAAACTTCGACTAGCGTCCAATTGGAATATGGGATTTTTCGTATTAATCTACCGAAAAGCAGAGTACGGTTCACGGTCCCATTATCGAGCCATCTTGAATTCAATAATTTTCATTTTTAGGTTGACAAGCCCCTCGAACAACAATTATCGGCAGTGCGCGGATAGCATATGCAAATTCTCTACAACGAAAGTTAAACTTCATATTTCTGCCACCAATTCGAACAACCGATCGTATCTCTTATATGCTACGACTCGTGAGACAGATAATGTAATCGGAGATTGCAGATTTATTTTTTTATTTTTTTATTTACAGTGGGTTTCAATGAATTTCGGTTATTAGCAACAGTGTAACGTACAGTCGTATCATTCCATTTAAAGCTTAAACGATTTCTTCAGGAAGACGTTCGAGTTGGCGCTGCTTGCTCCAACCGAGCATGATAGATTTATTGAAAACTGTCACTACCCTCACATTAAGCATTATAGAAAAGTATTACTGAAGAATCTAAAAGGTTTTGTAGCTTGTCCCTGAGGATTAACCGGAACTACTCCTGAACACAATGGTTACTCGGCTCGTTGGTATTCCAAAAATCTCAATTACTGCGTTTTGGAGTAAACTCTAAGACTATTTGCAATTTGTACGAGCGCCTTAAGCTTAACTAGAGATGATATATAGAGATTCTTAAAATCATACCTGTTCTTCATTGACCATTTGAGGAAGGCACTCATTCATTCATTTGATTGATTTTTCAAAAACTACGCGCGCCATCATGGGAACGAAGAATATTTCACATATCACAATTTAGTCATACGATAAGAAGCGATGGAAATACCAAAAAATTGCTAATGAAATTTTACAGCAACGCCTTTAATTCGTCTTAATTTCGCTTTAAAAGGCCATAAAAAGAAAATTTATTTTGATTCGGTAAAGCTGTGCTAACATCATGACCTATACCTACGATGTAATGTTTGTTTTGTTTTGTATTTAATTTCATGCACTGCCTAACAGAACAAATATAAGCGACCATAAAGGTCGCATCACATAACAATACCACACATAGTAAATAGTTATGATTGAATGCTACAAAATATAATTGTCCATATATATATATATATATGTGTGTGTGTGTATGTGAATAACATATAACATAAACTTGATACTCAAGAGAACACTGGAAGGAAGGAAACAAAAAATCTTGGCTTGCCAGAGAAGCTGAAGAAATTTCTAAGGGTAATGGTCAACAAGTGTGGTCTAATGTTAAATTGTTTGCCTGTGCGTTAGTTGGTAGAGTAAAACAACTGTTGAAAATATCTGCTATAAAAGCGGTATAATTTTCAAGAGTAACTTTCAGTTTCTTTACGAAATTGTAACGTGAATTACTTTGTCAGCAGATAACAATAGCGTAGTAGTCACATACAATATTTTTATAATACACGTTCTTGTTGTTGCTGCTGCTGCTGTTGTGTTTCTTTTTCTTGATTCGTTTTTTTTGTTTTTTTTTATTTTTGAAGGAGAGCAATAACCGTCACAAAGCACTAATATGAAGCTCACGGTTGTTACGTTATTTCTGGCTGGACTAACGATTTGTTGTAAGTGTGTGACGGTATTATCTTTGCCACCATCGCTTATCGCCCAAGCGGCTTCCTTGAAGAAGCGGCCAACGCACAATGGCGACTCGAAAGGTCTTTGGGTAAAGGACGCACGTTTCTTTTGGGAAAAACGTGAGCTTAAAATCGCTTTCTGAAGATGGTATCGTTGCATTGCCACGGCACCATCAACGTTGTTACCAACTACAGCAATAAGACCAACAAAAGGCAAAAATTAAAACTCAACAACAACAACAAGAACAACAAAAGAAAAAACAAACTTAACAAGCACGTTGCCCGTTGGTTTGGTGTATTCTTCTAGCAACAGCAGCGGCAAATGGTAATAGAATTGGCTAAGTAAGGCACCCATTATCCGTTCGGCTTATTGTTAGTGTTGTTAGTGTTAGAGGGAGATGTTGTGATTGGATGGATTTTTGTTTTTGTTTTTACTATTTATAGGGAATTCTTTATTGTGCAGATCATTAAGTTCACATTATCTTGTCGTTGTTGTTGCTACCATTGTTGTTGTTGCTGGTGTTGTTGGCGTGTTAAGTTTAAAGTGCTTTTAATTTTTCTCGCCTATTGATTGCTCTGATGATGCTGATGCTGATGCTCGTCGTTTGAAACTATTATTGAAATAAATTATATTGCTTCCACAGCGCCAGACAATGCAGTAAATAATATGCCTGCCGTGGCGATGGCGACATTACAAAGTGGCCTCAATGAAATGCCTGCGGAGCCACGAGAAATTACTGATCAACATAATCAACGAGCGGTTCCCGCCGCACCAAACGATTGGTATAAATTCTTAAAGCCTTTAAAATATTGGGGCAAACATTGTCAGACTGAAAATGAAAACAATTGCCCTCAGGCATATTATCGCGCTCTGATTGCTGACAGGTGAGTGTATGTTCGTGTGCGTTCGCGTATGTATTCATGTGCGCTCGCCTGCATGTATATATGTGTGTGTGCGTTTGTTTGTTTGTGTGTGTTTGTTTGTGTGTGTGTGTGTGTATGTGAGCATGAAATGTGCATACGCGTACGTATTCGCAAAATGGTAACGCGCAACTTGCGTCTATCTACTCGCACTCGTTGCCTACCACTGAGCGCAACCATGTAACCTCCTCAAGTAACTTGGTTAATTGGTCAAATACTTCATCTTCTTGGTTTTTGTCTTGCGTTTAATGCACTTTAACTGCGTGCATCCAGCAGTTTGTAGTAGATTTTGATTTAAACTCTTCTGTTATTTAAACCTTTGGGGTATTGTTTATAGCTTTAAGCATCAAATACAAAAACAAAAACACAACCTTAAAGATTAGTATGCATTACAACAATAGCAATAAGACCAGCATAATAAAAAAAGAAGAAGAAAAAAAAGTAAAACAACAAAAAACGTAAACTTCAAGGTTGCAGTGAAAGTGTTTGCCGCCGTCAGAGCAATTTTTGCATCTCATGCGATCTTTAAACGGCAATGCCTCGTCCTCTTAATTCCTTTATTCATTCAGTTATTGATGCACAACAACGGGGCAGAGTTTGGCGGTAAATGTTTTTACTTTACTTTGGTTTCTTACTTCATAAAACCTTACAGCGTTCGTTGTATTACGCTTTGTATTGCTTTTTGTGGTATGTGTTAATGCTGTTATGTTGGTATGTTAAACATTAACCGTTGAATTTCTTTTCTTTATTTTTTTTCCCTCTTTTTTTTCTTCAAAATTTGCCACCACATATTTGAGTTTAGGTTTTTGTTCAAATTTTAAGGGGATTGAAGATATTTTTAAGTAGATTTTTGAAGTATTTTCATAAGTAGTTTAGTAGTAATAAAGACTTGCATGATTTTATAATGGCTTATAGCTTTTGAATGAAATTATTTCAAAATTTTCAGCTTAATTTTAAAACATTAGCTTAAGAAAATTTTTAAAAAAGAGTTTTAAGCTTCTGCATATTAGACCTTTCGGATTTCAAAATAAGAGGGACTGTTGACTTCTTATTCAAAAGTTAAATTACTGGGTGACAATACCGAATAAACGTGCTTACCATTAAAAGTGGTGCCAAGAGGGGAACAACAACTTTTAGGGTGATTATATTGACCGTAGGCTTGTGAAACTTTGAGATATTGACTTACGTAAAAGTCTCCCATGAGAGACTTTCGTAAATTGGACATAAAGCAAATGAATCTGAGACTTGCTGAGGTCAAAATTATTATTTACAAGCTATAGCAAATAAATATTGACAAATAATTTAACTGTAAATGCTACAAGCTTGACTTGACACCTAGTACTTCTCCACTTATTACGTCCATTTCAGCGATAAAAGCAATGAACATCTAAGATTCTTCGAAGATGAATAAAGTTTAAGTGATTTGAAAGGTAGATCTTTAACTTACTTTCGGTTCATGAACTGAAATATCAAAGAAGTGCGTTCTTCTTAAGAAAGACTTCTTCTGATGCTGGTCATAGGCATTAGAAACCGCAAGAGCTGAAGTTCGCATTTAACTTAGTCTGTCTATCAAATCCTACACTACAAAGCTCCAAAAAAAAAAAAAAAAAAAAATTTATCTGTTCATGACTGACACAAGATAGAGTGAGTACACTTGACAATGGCCGTTCATTCGTGTGCTGTCCGTATTTACGGCTTATATGCTCAATATCATACTATTTTTTACTTGATGTCCACAATCCCGCCTAAGTTATAATCGATAGGAGACTATCATTTAAAATTTGGTGCAAATCAAACTAAGAATTATATCGACTTAGCTGCTACTAGTTAGTAGTTAGTAATATTTCTACATTGTTTTCACTCATCTCGAATTCAATATGCCTTTCATGCTTACACTTGTAATTTTAGCTAAAACAATGTATAGTGCGGCAAGGGACAAGGATGACAACAATTCTGAAAATAATTTACAAAAATTACAGCAAATTTTATCAATAACAAGGATCGAGAGTTCGAGTTCTTGTGGCCTTAGGGACTACCTTTACCAGACTTTTGTCTGTAGTTCTACTGTAGATCGTGAGATGAAACACGTTTGGAATACATTATAGTACTCCGCTTTTGTAAGTCCATTGTTGCAGTGAAGTGTGTGGAAAAGGGTTCTGGCTGAATAACGTTCGTATGATTAAAACAGAACAACACTAATTTTTAATTTTTATCCTAGGGCAGCCATTGAAGGGGGTCAAGCTCTACTTTTTTATATGAAAATTTGCGACCGGATATCGCAAAATGACTTCACTTTCAATTTCACTCCGGGAACACCTGTGTCTATATCAATGGAAACAACAAATTACAAATAGATGGGCGGATATAGAAGATACGATAATGTCGCCCGACTATAAGCATAAACTAGAAGGGCATGGGTCAATATTTTATATCAATTTTTAAGCCTATTATGATTTGAACAATACATTAAGTGTAGTCTGTCCCTGGTCTTTTACCAGATGCATCAAAAGTAATCTGTAAACATCAACTATCCGTCAATGACTTTATAAACAAAAGATAAAAAGTAGGTTGTCCGACAGATTTGGTAGAATTGTCTCATTTTCGGCCTATATCTACATGAATCTTTGCGATAATCCAAAAACAGACTACAAGCCGAGCAATATATGTAGTTCAACGGGTCTTCGATGTGTTCTTTGTTTGGCTGTTACCAGCGATACCATAAATATAATAACGTACATCCGCGCTATCCCTCGATAGCGAGTGCAAAAAAAAAAAAAAAAAACAAATTATGAAAGAAGGACGCGGAAATATCTGCAAAACCTAATGCTAACCGAAGTCGAATTTAGTGTAATGTGTGTTGCTTGTGCGGCTCTTGTAGACAAAAATATTTGGTATATCGTAACTTCAAAGTACATAAATAGAAGAAAAGTCTTTATCTTAACATCGTTTACCTTAATATAAACTTTTCTTCTCTTTTAATAAAATAAACACTCTTAAGTAAATGCTTTGTTTGACTGATAACTAAGAGGAGCTGCAGTGCAAAAAAAAAAAAAAAAAACAAATACTCGAAAATGTTGCAGCACTTTTAAGAAAAATTACGCTTGAGATAAAGCCGAAATATGTCTTCTTAAACATTAACAGAACATTAATCACTTTCGTTCAGAAAAAAAAAAAAGAAAATGAATGAGGATAGTGGGGGAGTATGTAAGAGAAAAGAAAAGAAAAGAAACGAAGAAGAAAAGAAAAAGAAAACTGAAATTGAAGTTTGAAATAAAACATAAAGTTTAACAAGTTGTTGGAAATATGTTCAGCGTCCAAGTTTGTCTTGTGAAACTTAACACACACACACACACACACACACACACACACACACGCTTGTGAAACGCAGTGAAACACACGGACAATAATTTGACATGCAAATCCCATTAATGGGTTGGGCCGCAGACGCAAACAACCGTAACCAAGCACCACTAGACGGTCACTGGCAGTGCAACAGTTGCCAAACAAATGAATTGATTTTCATGTTAAAGAAAACAAAACCAAAAAAAAAAAGTCAACAAAAATAGTGGAAAAAATTACAGAAAAAGAAAAAAAACTACTATTAATACTACTACTGTTTAAATTTCACACAAAAAAATAGCCTTCTTGCGCTGTGAGGATAAGATAAAAGAAAAAAAATTTCACCTTTTTTTGCAAAATTGAAATTTTTTTCTCTCTTTTTGCTTATGACTGACAATTGGCACATTATCGCTGGATTTTAATCAGGGCGGTAGATTACAATAAGCCAAAACCGACAGATACAACACACCCAGGACGAACGGGCAGACACACAAGACAACAATGCCATTAAGACATAGACTGGACAATGTAAGTAAATTTTCTTTTTGCAATTTTTTTGATTTCTTTGTGCTTGTGTTTACGTCTGAGCACACACACATATATATATATATATATATATATAAATATATATGCAATATGTGACTGTAAGGTGGTCTTTGCTGTATTGACTTTTTAATACAGTTATCAAAAATCCTGAATTATGATACGTTATGATATTTCAATTTAGTCCAACGGTAACCAAATAAATCGTATTTAACACGAAAAGCAAAAGAACAATTTTTTTTTCTTTTTGCTGACACATTATTTACAATTAATTATTTTAACTCAATTTTTTTTTTTTTTTTTTTTTTTTGAGAATATTTAAGCCGCTCCTTTAATAAATTGAGGTTTTTTTTTTTTTTTAATAAAATGCTTAAATTAATTTACCTCAAGATCATAAAATACAACAAACAAAAAAAAAAGGGAAACTTGTAGTAATAGGCTTTAGTAACATACTTGACTTTATGTTGCTATTATTACGACTAAGGTGTGTAACATAATAAGTTTAATGGTTGTTTCTTTTATGTTCTTAAGATTTTTTAACACACATCCAAGCCGGTTGTAATCAATACTGCGAATTCAATAAGATATACTGTTCACAACTTGAAAATTTAAAACGCCTACGCTTATAAAAAGATCCTTTAATTTACAAGTGTTTCTTCGCAGTTAACATAATTCTTGTGTTGTGTTGTCTCTTTCTTTTCGCGTTAAAGTCACATGATATCTTAAATACGTAGGTGCAATAGGTTACTTGGCTTGATAACTTATTGCTAGCATTCGATCTCAGAAGAAGAAAAACAAAAAAAACGTAATGAGGCTTAACCAGCGTAAGCTTTTGTTTTTGCTTTTTGTGTCTTTGATTGCAGAAATAATGCTTTGTTAGGTCAGCAGGATCGCCAACGTGATTACAGTGAAGATCCTTCATTGCATGTCGATACAGTTCCAGCAGAAACCTTTGAAACTTTTGATGACTCCACAGAATCTATGCGGAGTAATGATGACATATTCTTGTTATTAAATGCGGAAAGTAGTCTCATCAAATTTCTAACGTGGGCTTTACTGCAAATGTATCGCACACGCGATTTACTCGATTTGAATGATCTTACATCAGCCGATAATTACGATCCGACTATGTTTCTATGGAAAAAACTGAACTCGTCCGGGCAAGTGGAACCGCCCTTAATAGTTGATGAACCATATTATGTGATCGTACGTCGTCAATCACACGGTGACGATGAAAGAGGTGAGTATTGGTGATAATAAATATGAGAACAATCATTGAACAATTTTTGTATAAAGTTAACAAAGTTGAAAGTTCAGGCTAGGTCTGGCACAGAAGTACGGTGAAAGTTTTTGTAAAAGGGTGTATTAAGTTTGTGTCGATGCATATATCGATAAAGGCTTGTCTGTCCATCTGTCCCGCGTGTATGTTTTTGATCAATTTACAGGTCTCAATTTTTGAAGCATTTCAAAAACTCACGCCATTGAAAGGGTCGAACTACTTCCTTCGCTTATTTCCTAAATGCCGACAAAATGTGCTCAGGAGCGAACAATTTTTGATCCCTAGTCACATCCTTTATGTATGAAGTGTGTGAAAGAATTTTCTAGGAAGTGAATTCCGTGTCCAAATAATTGTTGACTTTTTCTGATTACTCGCGACATCAAGAATTCTTTGCCTAATACCATAAAATTGAAAGTAACGCCAGTCAGAATATGTCGGGGAGTGATGGGAAGAGGGGATGGATACTGCAGAATTGCTGTTATCCTGAAATATATTAAAAAATGGGGCCAAACGATCTCATTCATTTCATCAGGCTTTTTGACATATACACGGTTGATTGCCCTTTAACGATCCCGATTGCATACGTTGTCGGCAGTAGTCCTTTGGTTTTCTTGCGCTTGAACACGGTTTATGTCGCGCCTGACATATATGATCGCTCTGGCGCTTTAGACAATTGTAACCCGCCGACACGATTCAGCAAAGTAAACAGGAAAATCGACGCTTACCCCGAATGGCGTCTTTCGTCAGATAATTCGATTTACTTAATGTTCAAAATAAACTAAAGCAAATACGTTGTTTGCACTTCTGCCAAATAGCTTGTACTCGGACCTGAACAGTAGGTACAGCTTTTTGTCATGAAAAAGTCCCCATGTCATCCTATACGACAACGTACTAGTCGTTCCATAAAAATCCTTTAAAACTCATTCACACCTGGTGGCATATTGAGTATGAGTTTTCTGTCCGAGGAGAGTACGTTGGCAAAGTTATTTTTTTGTAGTATGTGGAGTTGCTCCTCTGAGTCTCTAAAAATGGTATTTACTTTCGACAATGTCCTTGTAATCACCGTTCACCTGCCATCACTCCTTCATCAGTTAATAGTCCTCCTTTAAAAATGTAATTCGAAGGCTGGAGCTTCTGCTTATTTGATAAACTTTACATTATCTACTTGCAAACACGCCCATATTAACTAAAATATATTGATCTAGAATCTAATACGAACGTAGAAAACCTTGTAAGGAAGTGCTCATAAAATAGATCACTGCGCCTGTCGTCATTCAAGAGCATTAATGATTTCGTGATGCGTTTCATTTCATGCTTTACTTGACGTCGACGGAGAAGACATTCGGTCCTTAAATCTTTTTTAAAATAAAACCTAACAGCATTGAAACTTTCATTAACGAATTTCTTTTCAATTGAAAATATTTATTTAGAATGGGATTACAGAAGCGATCCATTTATACCGAAACGGGGACGTAAACACGATCTACCCGACTTATATAGCTTACTGCAACGTTATGAGACATTTGTACCAAATCGCGGCAAAAGATTATCGAAAACAGATATAAATTTATTGCTAAAGTCGATGGAACCGTTTACACCGACACGCGGTAAACGTAATAATCTATTCTCAAATGAAGACGAAGAAACTGCACAAGGTAGGATGAAATCTTCCTCAAGAGCATTGCATTCGCAAATTCAACCTAATCGATTACGCTTTAAACGGAGTGCAAGAAATTTTCAAAGTCAAACGCATAATGAACGAATTTCACATAATATGTGGCTTTCTAAAGCGAACGATTCGCAAGCAAGACCTCAACTAGAAAATTTGGCAACAATTCAGAGACAAGTACAACATAAATCTATTGCATTAAATTTCTTCGATGGAATGCCTGACAATGAGAATTTATCGAAAGAGATGGTAATTCCGCAGAGCTATAACCAACCGTATAACAAACGCTTTAATCTTATAGTTAATGTTTTAAGGCAAAAACAACAACAAAAGCAAAATAATTGCGCGACGCCTTTGGCTAAAGAGTTCTAATGATTAAAACCTTGGAGTGTATAAGAAAAACATCAGTTAAAATATAGCTTCGAATATCAATATCGTTATCATCACGCGGCACGCAGAGAATAAGAAATACGGATCAAGGTTATCGTTAGTTGAATAATTAAGCAAGTAAGGCAAAGACACCTTACCTTCGTGGATTGCCATTATTTCTGTTAACTGGCAAGTCATAAGCAGTGATTTTTTGACACCATCAGCCAAAGCCTTTGGATATTCAATCGTTCACGATGTATATATGGTTTTGTTTCTCATGTTAACTTAAAGTTGTTATGTATCTTAAATATGTGCACGTATGTATGTGTATATGTATGTATGTTATGCGTACGTATGTAGAAAATATAATTGTGAGCAATAAAAAAAAAAAAAAAACAAAAAGCAAATTATTTTAATGTAAAAATTGTACAGAATCATGATCCGATTAATATCAAGAAGATTTCAACTTCCAACCACTCATCGTCGAAAGGAAGCAATTTTATATTTCAAGCTTTCAATGTTTGGAAAACATTGTAGATATCCGAAAGGCAACGGATTCCTGACAAACACCTATACACTTGAACGTAGCTTTCAGTTTCATAAGCTTAGCAGTGAATCAAAGCGAGTTTACTTCCCACCAATACATCATATGTGCAAACTTTTGAAGATCAATTATTTCTTACCAATAATTAAATTAAATTTAAATTGGAATTGAAATTGAAATTGGAAACTAATCAGAACACACCTTTGCATTGAGACCCACTAAGAAATATCTCACAAGTAATACATTTGTAAAGTTGTGTTGAAGCGAATTTCGTACACCCACCAAGTCGCAAATTTTAATTTGCGATTTGGTCGTTTCCTCGTGGTTTCAGTTAACGCTTGCATCAAGTTTCGGATTACTGCCTGCTACGATCTCTACGATAGTCGTTACAGTCGTGTTCGATAGGTAGGGTGCCTGCAGTTAAGCAAGCTAAGCTCATCGCTCAATCGTTAATCAAGAGTATTAGTTTTTGCCCTCAATTTTCGCGTCAGTTGGGACTCCAAACGGAAGGACATACAACAGCGTTGGGTAAAACGATCGAGAATGTCAGGTTAACCTGGAATGGATGGAGGTCGCGGACATAAATTTTCGTTAGTTGCAAAATGCATAATATATAAATTTTACTCTGATCATTCGTTGATGGCTGCAAAAATTTTATAAAAACTGATTTATAATATTATTGAAATGGAAGAAGAAGAAACACAACAAAAAAAAAAAAAAACAAAAAAAAAGGCACAAATACTCCCATAAACGATAATGTTTTTCTTTTTGAATTTTCCTTTCTACAAATATTGCATCTGCCTTCATTATTATACCGCACCTAAAAGTTATTAACCATATTTGTATATGTCTGCACGTATGCAACAATGTAGTAACATATGTAAACGTAGGCGTTTAATGTGAACAATCAGCGACACCAACGAATCATTGTGATATTAAATACAAAAAAAAAAAAAAAACTATAAAGATATATATAAAAATCATATAAGAAAAATGTGCCAAAATTAAAAATATTTTAATAACAAACCTACACGAGCCGAGAAGCCAGTGCATACTTGCTATGAGAATGAAAGAAAAAACGATTAAGAAAATGATATTCATTCGGCTTAAAATGAATTTTGGATACTCAGCATATCCAGGTTTAAATATCGTTTCTACCATAGGTGCAGTTTACGCTTTTTAGATCGCAACAAATGTGAGAGTAACACGATTTGTGAGTTAAACGTGTGGATCACGCGTAAGGAGTTCTCCATTGTGGATACTTTTTTTTAACAGAACTTGTTCTTCAGATAAGCACCATGTTACCGGATCTGCTAGAAGAGGTTCTTTCAATTTATGTCAAACTATGTCAGGCAGTTTTTCACTTGACGAGGTTACCTTTGAAAGTCTTTACCAACTTTTTCAGAAGCGGCGGCAAATAATCTTCTCACACGTTAATGGTCTACTAGTTAAGGAATAAGTCTGTTCATGTTGTTTTAAATGGGACCCTTGTTTATAATAATCTTATACGTATCATAAATGTTTCTGGATCATCTTAAAGGAGAAGGCAATTTCAATTGGTTCTCCTCATAAGAATCAGCTGAATATGGTAATAAACAAAAAAAAAAAAAAAATATTTTATTTAAATCGATACTTCAAGTAGGCAAAGGCACAAAACGATCTTCAAATTATCCTTCATTTATTCGAAACGACTTTGTGGACAAATGCTGTGCTGTTTAAAGCAATACAACTTAAAGCACTACTCTATAGCCATCAATCCAAGACTAAAAATTTTCAAAAAGAGATACAAAGGCACTTAATTGGCCGCTAGGCTGGGCGGCTTTATGTATCGAGGTAGCATTGTGTAAGGCGATCTACTCAAGCCAGTGGGAGACTTGTCCATAAAGTACTAGATGTAAAAGGGGAGATTATCCTGAAATATAAATGTAGGACATTCGAAACAAATGCTAAGAATTGCTTTAGTATAAAAATGAATGAGTGTTAAAATTTCGCAGTAAGCAATAAGCAATAAATGTCCATAGTCCATCAAAAAATGTTTAGCAGGAGCGTATGTAGTCAAACAAACTAAATCAATTCTCCCAGTGATCAAAAATGACGAAAACTTACGGAATGTGTATGGCTGGCCGCACACAAAATAAATCAGCGAAAGGATATAAAAACACGAACTAATTGCTTTCACATACGACATTTACGAGAATATTTAAAATGTCATAAGCAAGGGCTATTGATGTAATGACAACAAAATCGTAAAGAAAGACTGCGCATAAACGATTTGCTTGTTAAACGAGGAGAAACTTTACACATCGTTTACCACAGACAACATATACTAGATCTCGCAAGACGTATATAGTTTAAATTTTTGCTCTATATGCGCACACCACGATCTTTTCCTTAATCGTTCAAGTAACTGCAATTCTAGCGATTTTTTACTACGGCGAAGTAATTTTAAATAAAAGTGTTAAACAAATACTAAAAGCAACGTCAAAAATTCATTACATCTACGTCTCCTTTCTCTTATATTGAACTGATAACGTAACAAATGTTCATTAGCTTAGTATTATAAATGTTTATTACTTAAGGCTTAATGATTGGAGATAAATATCGCCACCACATACGAGGGATATGTTAAAACTTTCCGCAGGGTTTTCTCAATGGAAAGAAAAATGCATTCAAATTAAAAAAAAAAAGAAAAAATCTCTAAAATCAGTACCGTCTTCCAATAGATTTCGTTCTTGGAATACAACGGTGTAATCTTTAGTAAAATATTGCATGCATTCTACCTTTGTTATAGTCCTTTCATTCAAAGGGAAACCATCAATTATAGAAGAATAGACAAAGTTCCAATACTATTTTATATTTACTGGATAGAGTAAATGGTTCATTACTTTATTTTATATCCTTCGTTCTTTGTGCCAATCAAGCAATTTATCGTCCACCTCAAGTAAAATAGGATTTTCTTTTTCGGAAACGATTTTTTCCTATTTTGTATTGTATATAAAGGTGGACTATGAGGGCGATTTGTCCGTTGTAAGTAAAAGAAAGTATCAAAGGAAGAATTAAAATAAATTGTATTTTAATGGAGTCTAGTGAAGAAAAATCAAAGTGGAATAGAGGGGACCTTTTCAACTTCACTACCTAAGAAAGTAATGCGGCAACTCTGATCGGAACCTTGGAATAAAATTCGAAAAGCACGCCTTGCTAACTTCACTGCCCAAACAAACTGTAACGTGGCGTCGTTGAACCATAAGAAAAAATAAAAGACTGAGAAAATCTCTTGTCTTTTTCCTACTTTATCGTCTGTCAAAGACTATATGATTTCTTTTATTCTGAGTGCATTTCTAACAATGGGAGAGGATTTAACAACACCCATTTTTACGTATTAGAAATCTTTAAAGAATCGAACAAAAATAAATGGAACAAAGTGAAATAAAATGCGCAACAAAAAACAATCAAATTTTTAGTTTCGTTGTGTCTAATCCATTGAGACAGTGAAGAATAGAAGAATTTTGGATAGATTAAATCTGACTAAAGTTTGCAGCTCGTGGTTGATTGCCTGATCTAAATAAAGAGAATGGGATCGATACTTGCACCTAAAGATCAGAAGCCGGTTATATGCCCTATGTAGCTTATATCTGAATCTTCTAATTGAAAAACGGGTCATTTGCGAAAAAAAGGTATGGTCACAATCAAAAAAATGCTTTAAAAATTTTACATTGCACTAAAACGCAGAGGGGCTACATAAACGACCAATCACTCGGGTGATATCCCCTATTCGCGGTGGTGGCCTCAAAGAAGTTAGGAAAGAAGAAAGAAAGAACCATATAAACAGAGTAGGACCGCTAGGCTACTTTAAATATTCGAATTGTTTTCTCTTGCTTTACATTTCCCATGAATCACTCGCCCTTATCTCATCGGTAGACAATGTCGTTGAGGAGTTTTTTCGTAGCATAGCCACGACATTTTATAATTTACCAATCATATAAGTAAGTTTCTTCCGGTTTTTCTAACAAATGAAGTGCGTATGCAAATCGCATTTCTCGAGCTATGCTTTCTCTACGTAAAAGTAATATATGATATATTTGAGATTTGTGCAACGACATAAGTCTTTTCTGGCTTCCGGTGTGCAGATTCATGTGACATGGCCGATAGATTTTGTCAGCCTTTTCTGACGATGAATTCGGCCACTCCTTAATACTTCAAGCTTTAAAACTGCATATGCAACTATTTGGGATTCTTGTTTTGATGGCTTGTTTTTCATGGCGAAACTATATTAAAAACTTTCTTTTCTTGTAACCCTCGTATACATCATCAAGCCGTCCCAAGTGCCGTCAACTAAGGCAGTAATAGTCATTAGTTACTTAAGTTACTGGCGTCTGTCAGTCATTAAAGCTAAAAATCATTGAAATATGACTAAGGCTTTAAAGTAAGTGTTTAGTGTGTAAGCATATGTAAGTAATAA